AAATCTTCGATGCAAGACACTCCCAAGCACACCAAACAGGCAACACAACAAAAGCATGAGGAGAAATTGGTTGTGCCTTTTATTAAAATGCTCCTTAATCCCTAGTATTGACTAAAGGTTTCTTGAGGGTTTTTTTTCCCCACACTGACAGTTCCTTACCAGTTAGCTTTGAGGAAAGTGATTTTAACTCACGATTTCAGAACGGTGAAATAACTTTTTCTAACCTGAATATTTCATGACAATCTCATAAAAATCAGGAATAAATGACCTTAGCATGTACAGCCACATGGGGTGAATTCTGTCTTCAGTTTCAGCTGGGGTGTATCTCTTGTTGCTCCATGTTTAGCAAAGCCATAAATTCAGTGAGAAGAAAAGGTGTTTTGATACATCTCTCTGGTGTGTTTACAGGACTGCTGACAGATTTTTCTGATTACTTGCTCTCTCTTTTTTGTGTATTGTTTTTCTGGGAATCAAGTTGCAGAATGGAAGATTTTGCCTTGAGCTCATTGTTGATGAAAGACCAAAACACAGGGAAAAGCTTTTAGCACATGCCTTTTCCTAAGCAATGCCATGTTTCAGTCTCCACCACCTGCTCCTGTGCTCAAACCAGTCATCCTGGCCACCTTCTACAGTGCTGTGTAATTAACTTTTGCTCACAACCTTGTCCTAGCTAGGGTTTCTGCAAAGTACATCACTCCCACTGTTCCTCAGTAACATGCCACCCCTAAATGACCGGGGGGCTCAGCATCTCTAATCCCCTACACTTGTCCCTACTCCTAATTGTCCCACCACGGTTTGTATGGGGAGAAACAGAGGAAGAGATAATGCTACAAATTTGACCCTGCATAATGCCGAGCATTTCTAACCCCCAGATTCATCCTGTCACTAGGCTTTAAGGCTAAGCAAAAATTATTTGTTAACCATGCACAGTCCTTTCACAAGTCATGGGGCTGGAAGATGATTTGTGATCTCCTCAGGTCCAGACCTGCCTTAGACCACAGACCTGCAGCTTTCTTCCAAAGGGAAAACTGAAAAAAACCAAGACCTCGTACATTCACTCCATGTGTCCTCCATTTTCAACTATTAAATAATTATTAAAAAAAATTAAAAACTGACTAGTTGCAACAAAGCTTGACACAATTAAAAGTTTCAGGAATAAATTTGTTCCTGGAGCTCAGCAAAACTTGACACTGCTGCCGTTCGGTCAACTTACCAGTTCTGCTTTGTGCTCAAGCAGAAAGAGTCTTTAGTTTTTGGCTGAGCAACATCTATGACAGCAGTGTGGCAACATCCACCAACATGAGAGAGGAAAGTTAAAGCTGCAAATTAAGTTACAGTGAAGCAGCAGTATCACACCTTGCCACGGGTCTGCCTCACACAAGGAGTGGGAGACCAGCCTGACTCTTCCTCTGGGCATGCAGGGGCTCTCAGCATACCAAACTCAAGCTCTGCTGCAGATCCATCAGGTATAAGCCTATCGCAGAGGACCTCAGAAGACAAAGTGCTGTTAACTCTTTAAACCCTAAAACAGCATCTTACTCAAGATCAGCAGCTGTGTACACCCCCTCCAATGCAAACATGAATAGCTTTCATGTTTGAAAGCAGCATTGGAAGTACCCACAAGAGATCAGCCCACTGGTGAACCCAAGCTGGGACCATGGCTCATTCCAGGACTGAGTGGCATGAAGGGCACAGTGCTGTGCTGCAGGGTCCAGCCTCTGCTCTCCCTGCACAGGCACAGCACTGCCCCTGGGTTCGGTCATGCTGTCTCAGCACAGTCTCCGCCACTACAAAAACTGGACAAAAGTCACTGAGCACAGAGCACAGCTGTGTACATTAGTGTAGGTAAACTGAAGACCAAAGAGAATAAAGGAAATCCAGCATGAAAGTGCCTGGACAAGCACTGGAGCAGACAGAAGGAGGCACTCACCTGCTTGCACCAAAGCTGCTTATCAGGTAGTCGCTGCTCCAAGCAGAAGCAAGGCAGCTGATGGGGGCTCATGCTTTTTATACTAGAGCGAAATGGGCTTGAAGTAGGGAGGGGGAGTCAAGAGGTGGGCTAGGAGGACGTCACCAGTGTTAGTGAGCAAGATTTAAATTTACAAAAGGAGGGGTAGAAAACAGTGGCTCTATTAGAAACTCATTGATCAAGGCAGGGGGCAGGGAGAAGGAGTTGAGGGTGACGCAGGGAGATTGCAGGAGGGGCCTGGCAGGACACCTGGCTGAGGCCCCCAAGCCCACCAGGAGAGCAGAAGGGAGGGGGCTGCTGCCATGTCCCTATGGGTGTGGGGACACAGGCAAATGGGAGCAGCACCAGCTGCCACGCTTTCTGCAGAGAGCCAAGCTCTCTGTGCTGCCCAGCTGAGATGCCCTGTCTGAAGAGCATGTCTCTAGGGGAAAACCACTTGTGTCTGAAGATTAAATGTGGGGAGAAAGAGGAGATAGATTGGGAAGCTCTCAGGGCCAGAAAGCTGGAGCAGTCAAGTCCATGCACTCCTTCCACAGCCCTTACTCCTCTTGCTGTTGTCCCATCTTTGCTTTTTGCTCGGGATGTTACTTGATGGCAGCTCTTGTTTCATTAAGCTCCTTACTCACAGTTGGGGTCATCTCACCCCCATGTAAGTTTTAGGTCATGCTGCAACACAGCACCCAAGTAGCTGATGAAATCAGCTGTGATTCAGTGCTTAAGCAGGTGCTTACCAGTTTTGTGGCAGAGAACATCTCATCTGCATGAGGCTAATATCTTGAGCAATATTGTATTCCTACAATAGGTGTCTCTTCTAAGTGATTATTTTTAACTCTGCCTCTGGACTAATGTGTCATCGCAACCTTGATGTTACAGATTTCACTGCTTTAAAAGCTAAGACTGTGTTTACTGTGAAGGTTTGCAGAGGAGCAGCAGCTGAACTGGCAGGTGTTTCAGTCCCTGGCCACAATCCTGCGGAGAGGCTATGTGAAGCATTACTGGGCTACCCGGGGACAACAGGCTCTCTCTTCACAGACACAGGGCTGTGCACTGCTCCTGGTGAGACTGACTACTGAAGAAACAATTTTTAAGACTGTGCTTAGAAAGGGGGCTCAGATGCTTAACCCTGTCTGTAAACTGAGATTGGATAGGAAATGCTGCAACTCCACTAAGATGAAAAGGAAGTTCAATAGCAAATCTGTTGTTCTTTTTTCCTATAAAGATGCTTCCAGTTGAGAAAACCACAAAGCACAAATAATGCTATTTCACTGCAGCCATCTCCCCCCACCACCAAAAAAGAGATTTTATTTCCTAGGGGCAATTTGTGGGGTACCTCCACAAGGAAGCACGACTGAAATTTTGCCTGGCCCTGCCCTTATTCAGCATCCAGGCATCAAGTAAATGACCCCACTACCACCACTGGGAGAGTATGGTCACTAATTGTGGCAATTAAAATACATTTCTCATTTCTGCTTAATTGTTTTATGGGCATATGTATGAATAAAAGTGGTAAAGAAGCCTGAGAAATACTCTTCAATTTCCACCTAGTAACAGCTAAAAGCAGTGTCTTCCTCATCCAGGTTTTCAAGAGTTTACTCAGACTACTGAGGATTACAACTGCAAAATATGAAGAGCACTTCAAGTCCATGATGGCACAAAAGGTTTTTCTACAGCTAACACAATCAATAACAGATATACATGCTTTCCTCAGCAGTCTCCTTTTAGCGTGTTCCCTTTGAACCCTGCAAATGCTCCTTGCCTAAAAATCAATCTGCATCCAAGAACCAGGCAGTGGTAGTGCTTCTGCTGTGCTAATATTGAGTGCATGCATGCAGAGAGTATCTTCTGGGTAAGTAAACCCCTTCATGGCTTCTCATCTTTTCCCTTACTGCTTTTCACATTTATTTTGACCAGAAAATGTGGGTATGCTTTCCTAATCTCTAGTGGGGAATTACTGGAATAAAGGGGGTTTTTCTCCAGGATATGCAGGATTCTGTCTTGTTTTGTTGTTTTGCCAGCAATTCTATCATCTTAAAACAGAAGTAAAAGTCTTTTTCATCCCATTTACTCCT